ATTCTCCTCCAAGGATTGGTCCGGAGAGGCTCGAAATGGAGAAGTTTCGGATCGTCTTCAAACCATTGCCGAATCAATCCGTCAAAGATTGTTTGGAGGAGCGTGTCCAGCAGCTGCGAACTGCTATTGACGACTGGAGGGAGATGCCGTCAATCCTTGTTGGTACGGACCAGGAATTCGAAGAACTCTCCATTAGTGCAAGACAATCCATCACAAACAAAGCAATCTTCCTATGCAGAGCTTACGAAGTGGCTCTTGACGCCATTCCCCGGTACGACTGGACTTGGGAAAACAGCATCAATCTTGCCGTCAAGGCTTGCCGAAACGGCGGTAATCGCGCATACAACCATTGGAGAGTTGTGTACGAAATCCAACGGTACTTCAGGCGACACGACGGTTTCATGCCTCCACGAAGAACAAATGGCAAAGGAAGTGTTGAGTTTTTCAGTGTGTTCCCAGAAGCTCCCATTATGCTGTATCGTCATTGCAAGAAGAATCTGGAAAAACTCACCTGCGAGTTCGCCCAGCGGTATCTGATTGACACCGTAGTCCCTCACTGCTTGGAGAAGTGTAATCATGAGCTTGCTCTCTCTGGCATCAAGCCACTCAACAAGGATCAGTTCCTCGCCATGGTTCGTCTCAAGTCGATCTCTGTCTCCACTGCATGGCGTTGGTTGCGGCTCCTGGGATTCGAGTACCGTGAGAACACCAAGACGTATTATACTGACGGTCATGAGCGTCCTGACAACGTGGCTTACCGCAAGAAATTCATCAAACGGTACTTTGAACTCGAAGATCGCTGTTATCGCTGGGCGCAGGTGCCCGCAACTGCCGCCATGGAGCTGGAAGCCAAAGGATTCCTGGCGGCGGACTCGAAACACTACAAGACATACGAGATCGAAGAAGATTACGAAGAAGTTGAGATGCGTGAATACCACATTGACGCCAACCATGAAAAACTCCTTCAATTCGTACCTGAGGAGCAGCGCAAGTTTGGTGGAGGACTCAAGCGTGACTTTGACTCCACTCAGCGTCCAGTCATCATCATTGGACAAGACGAGTCTGTATTCATGCAGTTCATCGTTTCGAAGAAAGCTTGGAGCGTTGACGGTGAGCAAATTCTCCGAAAGAAGAACGACGGCCAAGGTCTTCATGTGAGTGCCTTCGTCTCGGATGCTTTCGGAATGGATCCAGATATTTCGGAGTGGCTTGAAGAAATCAATGAGCAGTGTAGAGGAACGGAATATATCTCCAAGGAAGCGGCCACAATTGAGCTTGGAAATCCGTCCAAGCGGCCAATTACCAAAGAGGCAGCCGAAGAAATGTGCAAATCCCCATTCATGCGTTGTATCCAAATCGGCCAAGGACACGACGGATACTGGAACGGCAACCGAATGAAGATTCAGTTCGAAGACGCCGTTAACTGTGTCAAGGTGATGTTCCCAGGTCATGATTTTGTCTTCCTGTTCGACCAAAGCAGCGGCCATACAAAGAAGATTGACGGAGGCTTGGACGTCAACTGCATGCTGAAAGATCATGGTGGCAAAATTTATATGCGGCCAACCACACTTGGCGAGGGATGCATTGGATCATTCGGGCCATCACAATATCAAGTGGGAGACGAACAAGAGCTCATGTGGGAATCCGATGAAACCAAGTTGAAGCCTGACGACGGCCCTTGGTACCTCACCCCCGAAGAACGGATGGCCCAGCGGTATGATGTCCTCTACGAAGACGAGGTCAAGCCAAAGACTGCCGCACAACTTCGTAAGGAAATTGCAGCTCACCGCAAAGTCGATCCCAAGACGCTTGATAAGGGCAGGGGCTGTTTGAAGAAACTTCAAGCTGAAGCCGAAAAGGATGGGATTCCTTTCAATACTTTCGTTAAATCCACCAAGAGCGTCCCAAAGACTGTCAAAGAAATGAGGGCGGAATACCAAGCTGCCGGCAAAGAGTTGCCGCAAGGCAATCTCACAAAGAGCGCTTTGCAAGAGCGCCTGGCGGAGGCGGGACTTGACATTTACAAGGAAGAGCCCCGAATCAAGACTTCTGGATGGGTGGGTCGGGCGAAGGGACTCAGTCAGGTCCTCTGGGAAACGGGATGGATCAGCGAAGAGGACCATGCTGAAAACAAATATCACAAAGAACCGGCCAAGGCCGACTTGGATGAGGATGGCAACATCAAGGAAGGACATGAACGGTGGATCTTGTCACGGCTCATGGCAAATCGTCCTGACTTTGCCAGTGAAATGACCGATCTGGAACACCTTGCGAAAGAGCTCTCAGATAGCAACTGCACTGTTACCGTCGTCTTCACGCCAAAGTATCATCCAAACATTGCGGGCGAAGGAGTCGAAGACACTTGGGGCTTCTCGAAAAGATACATTCGCCGCATGCCAATGCACCGCCGTATCAACTTCAAGAGTTTCATTGCAGTCGCCAACGAGGCTCTTCGCATGAATGATGCTGCAAGAACCATGCGTTTCCGCCGCAAGTGCAGGAAGTACATGCTTGGATATCGGTCGATCAACAACGAAGTCATGCATGTGCCGGAAGAAGGAAGCATAATGTCCTTCAAGGATCAGCTTGACAAATACGCCAAGGAGTATTACAAGCCCACCGAAGCTCAGATCAAACAACACGGCTTGAATATCACCAAGCGCACATGCAGAAAGAAGCCACAGATTGGTCCCAGTGTCACTCGTCGCAATTTCAAGACAACTGCGGAATGGGAGATTGTTGAAGCCTATTGGTTGGGCTATGATCGAATCAAGCAAGCAGAGGCACGCCAACCAAAGACTGTTCAAGACCGGTTGGAAGTATCTAGGACGGAAGAAGTGGACATGGTTTCCATTCTGAAGGAGAGACTTGTCCACAGATCAAACTTGGATACAGGCTTGGGCTCCATTGAAAATGAGTTGGAGATCTGTCTGGCCAGGAAGGCTGTTGTGGAAGAGGATGATGTTGTTGATACTGAAGATACCACTCCATTCTTTGGTTGGGATGAAGAAGAAGGAGGAGGAGAGGTAGAACAAGAATAGATAATTCATAGTAGTAGCCATTCAATATGGAAGTCTTCTTGTTGTTCCTGCGTCGCGCCGTTCGTTCGTTCGTTCGTTGGCTCCGTGAAGAGGTTCCGTGGAAGAGCCAGTGGAAGAGCCAGTTATAAGTCATCGATCCGTCGAACGGAAGCGTTCCTTCCAGCGCCATTGTCGCTTGTTGTTGCATTAACCGTAGCCGCTTGTTGTTCAATATGGAAGACTTCTTGTCGCATCGTTCGTTCGCTCGCTCCGTGAAAGAGCCAGTGGAAGAGCCAGTCATCGATCGATCAGGTGTCATGGTCGCTCCGTGGAAGAAGTCATCACCGAATCCGTCGGCCGATTGATCGAACGGTCGATACGACGATCGGCCGCTACTGCCGCTAGCCAAACAAGAGGAGCCTGTCATGGTGGTGAGTAGTAGCCTTTGAGTAGCCGCTGTAAAGAAGAGGAGTAGCATCATCTTGATAGAGTCAATAGAGAGTAAAGAAGAAGAGGTATCGAAATAATGAAAAAGAAGAGGTGTACGAGTGGCTTGGATCGATCGATCGATCCGAGTGATGTCAGTTGAGATTAAGGTTAAGGCTATATGTCCCTTAAGTCTTTTCGCGGAACGTTCCAGGACGTTCCGGGTCGCGTACCGGCAGCCGGCTTGCGTTTGCGTCAATAGCCTCGATACAGCCTGTATGACCCGACAGGTGTTCATTTTGGCTCAACCACAGAGTTTCCAGAGCTGCCATGAGTCCAACCTCTGTAGGAATTCTTCCGCTCAACTGATTGGTTTCCAGGTTGAGCGATGTCAAGGAAGTCATTTCATAGATTTCAATTGGGAGCATATCATGCAATAATCCAGAAATCTGGTTCCATCCCAGCCCAATCTTAAGCAAGGAAGTCAAGAGAGTAATCTCGGGTGGAACATGTGGTGCAAGACCAGAAAGATAGAGATCTTCAACCCAAAGACTAGTGTATTCTCCAAGGTGATTGCACGGAAGAGAAGCAAAGGAAGGAGGATATTCCGTATAAACACCATTCTTGAAATAGGAAAAGCCACTGGAGAACCACAGACACTCATCCAGCCTATCATCCATCCATTTTTCTTGGATAGGTTCAAACCAGTTATCACCTTCAAAGGCAAAGTAGAATGTAGCCAGAGCAAAGAGTTGTGTCTTCCTCCATTCTGGCAATTGGGTAATGTTTTGGTGGTCCAACAGCCAGTCCCATGCTCGCCACTGGGGTGTCCCAAAAGTCTGCAACCTCTGCAAAGTATAATTTGGCAGATTTTCCAGTGTGAAATCCAGAATTCCAGTTGGGGCCGAGGAAGGAACTCCAGAAGGTTCCAAAGAACCAAAGGCCGTTGGTGTGACTGTGTGACGTCTGATTGTAGTGACTGGATCCTTTCCTTTTCTTGTCCCAACCACAGTGCCGGTGACTATGGCACCCACTACGATCATCATGGCCAGAAACAAAATATACAATTGGTTCTGCCTCTTCTTGCTTTGTTGTCTTTCCTCAACCGTCTGCAAATCTACAGGACTTGCTGGTGGCATCATTTGGAGCCTGAGATACTCAGAATCCTCCACAACAAGATTTGCCACTGCTAGCTGTTGATCATTTGTTGCATCATTGCTGTTTTCAATGTTGTTGGCTAACTCATGTGCAATAGAGTCTGTTTGACCCTGATCTATCTGCAATTCTTCATTGTCATCTGTGTTGGGAGCAGGAGCACCAAGGAGCGAGTATTGAACACTACTGGTACGCTGCAACACTTCTCCTGGTGATCCCATGTAGGCCCCTGGACGAGGAAGCTGTGGACTTCCTTGGCAAGTTCCGGATACCAGCTGCCCTGCTGTGGATCTGGGAGAGTTGATTCCACCATCAGTTGGCCTACTGCTGCAGCTGACTTTCTCCAGCTTAGCTGCCTCGTTGATTTCTGTTGCCATTTGCATGAGTGTGTGACCGCCATCAGCAGACCTGTTGTTGCTAAAGTTTTCCAACTTGGCTGCCTCATTGATTTCTGTTGCCATTTGCAAAAGATTGTGCTCCTCGCCTTGTGCGCGGCTCACATTTCCTTCTAAGAGCTCACCGGCTGCCACACTGGCTCGCCCTGTGGCAGCATCTTGCTCTTGAATAGAGCCGATTGTTGTTGGTTGTTCTGAGTTGTGCTCATCACGATGGCAAGATTGGGTGGCAATGGATGTAGCTTGATTCGTGGGGGGCTCCTTGTGTACTTTCTCTTGGGCTGTGCTAATAGCACTGGCTTCTCCAGCTCGATACTCTGCCACCTTTTGCTCAGATCTTTTCTCACCATTACCCAGCACCACAGAATCACTTTCTTCTAGCTGGCTCCCTGTGGTGGGCTCTGTTGTGTGCTGCCCATAAACAGTTGGAAGGGCAGGGGGGACCAGAGCTTTTGACTTTTCCATTTGACCTTTTGTTGGCAAGAAGTATAACAATCTGTGTGGCTTGTGTTCAATTTTAGCTTCTTGCAATACTGGTAGCTCCTGGATCTCTTCTGCTGACCCATCCGGGACGCCTGAGCTCGCTTCAACAACAGAATCATCACTCCTCGACTGGAAGGTATTCATAACTTCGGCATCTTCATCTCGATTGATGTCATTATTATCATCACTGCTATTGTGCTTGTTTGAGTCTGACGTATTCATGTTGACTCCTTTGAGCCTCGGGGCAAGATGATGTGCCACAGCGGATTGGAATTCTTCCCGTTTGTCTTCACGGTTTTGTTCTCAAGCTATAATTCGCCTGAGCTTGCCCGCTTGCTTTCAAATTGCTCGCCTCGATATAATGAGGGGTTCTGAAGTTCGGCAGTTTGTTGTGGGTTGTGGTCCGCTCAAGGTCTCAGCTTGCTTTGGCTCAGCTACGAGCACCATCGAAGTCCAATAAAAAGCTTCTCAGGATGGCTGCATGGTGTTGCTGTTGCATCCTTGATTCCATTTATTTGATCCATTCCATTTACCAAGAAGCCAGTGAGCAACCACGGATCGTTTCCAGCACGAAGGAATGGCTTAAAAAAAAAAAAATAACGAAGTTTTATTATTTAGGCTGCACCTCAATAGACCACCCGCTGAACGGAGCCATATTGAACCGGAGTACCTCAGACGTACAAGGACGCCCACATAGGAACCGGCCTAGTGCAAGCCCCCCACCGGAGAAGTTTAAAAACTCCGGAGGGTGCTTTGCAGCTAACTATCTACCCTTGACTGGATTGCCATCTCTACGGCAGGACCCCTTCCGTGCGTAGTTACCCTGTGTCATTGTTCTGCATTGTGCGTGCATGCTCGTCCCTGAGTGCCTTGTCGACGACGGGCAGCCAATTGGCAAGCCACGCTTTGATGTCGCCTGGGCCCTTTGCATTTGCTCGTCAAGCGGTCGCTTGAAGATAAAGTCCACCAGCTCCACTGGGATCAGATCCGCTTTCTCGTAAATGAGTTCCACCTCCCGCTGAGCTGTTCGTGCTTCTTCTTCCACTGGTCTTCCCTGTCTTTGCCATGCCTGCAGCATTTCGATCCCCCACAGGTTCCACCACTGCTGGATGAGCAGTGAGGCTAGGTTGGTGACCCAGAGCTGCCCTGTCTTGGTTGTCTCCTGGGAGCCGACCCGATGCAGATATGCATCTTGATGCTTAGCCCAGTGCGTGGACAAACGTCCTCTCAGGAAGTTGTCCCAACCAATGAGATTTTGAGTGTCAACGAGGTCCCTATACCTGTCAGGGTAGTGCCATGGGTGGAGGAATCGATCTTCAAAGTGGTATTGTAGTCCATCCAGAGCAATTTCCAGGAGGAAGGGGTCTGTGGAATCCTTGCGCAACCTTGTGCTGATCGCTCGTTGCATGGTCCCTCGCCACAAGTCCACGTCAACATGCGGGCATCGATAAACATGGGTTTCAGTCTCGTGATCACCGCCACAACGGGGACAGTGGTGATCATACTTGGGGTCATCCCGGTGGACCGTTTCCAACTGGCAACAATTGAAATAGGAACTTCACAATTGTCGGTTTGTGGATCTCATGACGGTTGACAGCTCGACCATGGGCTGTCCAATCAACCAGTGCAGGGGTGTCCTCGTCCCAGTCGGGATTCAGTTTGACAATGTGATCGAACAGGGGCTGGTCGTTCCTGAGATGCCGCAGTGTTCTGGGGAGCTTGTATGTGCATGTTCCTTGGGAAGGTGCAGCTGGGCCAGGTTTGCCGGAAATCGGAGTACCTTGGAGTGATCCTGTTTGATGTGTCTGGTCATGTAACTGCCTGCCAGTTTGTCAGCTCTGCAATTCAGTTGTGCTTTTAGGGGTAGTGTTTCGATGGCCTTGTGCTTGTCCTGGTGCGATTTGATGTGCTCCATTTGGGCACTGTGACTGCAGCCCTGAACGAATCCTCGATCTGCTGCAAGACATCCCAGTCGGAGTCCAACGAATCATTGGGGTACCATCCCTCATACTCGAGACAGCTAGCGCACTTGTTCGTCACAGACTCATTGTCGCATAAGTGTACATAATTCTTCATGCTGGTCTGATCGTAGAACTCCAGCAATCGTCGAAGAAGGCAAGTAGGGGAATAGAACGCCATAGGCCTCCGCCCTGTATGAAGTCGGAACCATACCAAAAACTGGACCAGAACACCGAAGCACAATTTGGCCGCGGTTGTCTGCCAGACCCATGCAAAACTCGCCTTACCGGTTCAATGTCTAGTGTCTGCAGCCCCATCGCTGGCTACCCAGAAGGGCATGGCTGTG